GGGGGTGGCGCCCGGGGCTTTAAGAAGGTGTGGAGGGGGCGGGAGCTTTCCCAGGCCCGGCCGAGGGGCGTCGCGCACACACAGGCGGCGGCGCTCGGAGGCGGACGACACCGCTCTCTGTGCCCGTGGCTCCGGCCCCGCGCTCCTCTCTCGCTCCTGCGGCCCAAAGTAACTTCGGGAGCTGCGGTCTCCCGCCAACTTCTCCCGCGGGCTCGGTTGCCCGGAGCCGCTCGGCTCGAGCCCGCGGCCGGCTCGCCTTCCTTGCGCGTGGCTCCAAAACTGAATGAGAGAGCGCGCGGGGCGCGCGGCGGCACGGAGCGCGGCGGCATGGAGCGCAGCTGCTGGACGCCGCGGACTCTGGTCCTGGCCATGCTGCTGCTGGCGACATTGAGGGCGCGCGCGGCCACCGGCTACTACCCGCGCTTCTCGCCCTTCTTTTTCCTGTGCACCCACCACGGGGAGCTGGAAGGGGATGGGGAGCAGGGCGAGGTCCTCATTTCCCTGCACATTGCGGGCAACCCCACCTACTACGTACCGGGACAGGAATACCATGGTAGGTACCACGGCATCCCTATGCGCCACGGTGGCCCGCGAACGTATCTTTCCATCCTCTTCCTCCTTCCCAGGGGCTAGCGAGACAGGGACTGGGACAACCCCCTACCACAGCGGGGTGTGCTGCCCGGGGTGGAGAGAGAACTTAGTGGAGAAAGGAGTCTTGAGTTGGGATTTCAACAGTCCCTAACATATCTGAACTGGCGCTTGTGTGACAAGACAGACAGGCCCTGGGCACTGCTGCCTTTTCCCCCTCAATCCTGGTTCCTGCAGCTGCCGAACCTGCGCATCGCATCGCATCTTTTTTTTTTTTTTAACTCCAGTACTTGGATAACAGACTTTTGTCCCGTCCTGGGTCCCCGCTGGTGGGTCCCCAGGTGGCGCTGGGGTTGCCATTGGGTTTTTCAGGCCAGCTGCCCACAGTTTGGAGCGCTCTGCCCATGCTGCCCACCAGCCCAAAAGTTCCCGCTGCCCTACAGCCAGGAGTCCCTCGCGATCTGCCGAGTGTCGGGCAGTCCTCAAGAAACAGAGCGACTGTTCCAGCCTTTTATTCTTTTAAAGTGTCGTTTAAAATATCAGTAATTGGTGATCTCTCTCATTCTCTTCGTACTACTAGCTTGGTGGTTGTTATGTTCCTAGTATTGTCCGGGCCACGCTTACTAATGACCTGTATCTGCGCAGCTTTAATTGTCTGGTCGAGGCTGCATGCCACTCACTAAAAGCGGATCCCTGCCCCAAAGGGATCATTATGCAGTCCTTCATCGAGGTTAACCATTACTCAAAAAAAATAAAATTTCACAACAAGAAGAGCGATTTAATGTAGGGCATTTATTTTTAAGTCAAGAGGAAATGTGTGGAGCAATAAAATACGTTTACTTTCTGTGTGCATACTGCGACCTCTTAAATAATGATAAAAACTATGAAATGGGAAAATTTCCACACAATGTTTATATCTAATGAAATAGAAACTATTGCTGAGTGATGCTGTCCATAGGTGCTGTCTCTCAAAGGTTACAGGTGTTGGCGTAGCAGAAGGTGATTCCTGAGCGGCTGGCATTTCACATAGATCTGTATGTGAAAAATTACAAGAATACACAAGTATTTTGTTTCAGCAACGCCTCCCTACCTGCTCCTAGAACACGCGGTCTGCCCAAGTACATGCTGGATATTTAAAACACCACTTTAGCAACTTCCTTGTGGTGCAGTGACCGCCTTGTCGGTGGTATTTCATAATCAGTTTTAGAAAATTAATTTCTGTAACTAGTCTCTGTAATAGAAAGGTTTACTTGTATGCTCTCCCCTTCGGAGAATTATCTGGTGATTTTCCTAGGGTCATGGAAAGCTTTGAAGTGGAAGGGACAGCCAGGAGGATGAGAACCGAGACCTGACCCACAGACTGACTGGGACTGTTGTCACTTGGTGTGACCCTTAGCAGAGACGCCAGCTAGCCTGCTAGCTGGGCGTGCGGTAGGTCAGGGAATGAAGGCTGGCCTACAAGGGGCCTCTCTCAAACTGTGATGGGAGTCTCCGGTGACTACGCAGCCCTTCAGACAGCACCAGTCAAGAATAAATAAGAATATGCCATCTGCAGCTTTTGTTTTTGCTATAAAGTTAGCAGATGAACCTGAGATTGTCTGTGATCCTGTCACTAAACCTGGAAGGCGTGAATGGGTCACTTCAAGTTGGGCATTGTAGGGAACAGGTCCCCAGTAACTCTTTTATGCCACCAGAAAAGCTGGAGAGATTTTATTCTGTAACTTGAAAGGCCAAAATATTATAGAAAATAATGTCATTTTTAAATCCCTATTGAATGTGGTGTCAGAGTTTTAGAACTGGATACTAGCTGTATAGCTCCAGGCCTTTTAAGTGTTTCTCCTATAAAATGCTCTACAGGTAGGAGAAATGCTTAAAACAGAAGTAATACTTATATATGTATTTTAAATGATTAAAATATAGCATCTGTGAGACGTGACTCACCACAGGAAAGTATAAATACGTTTGTGATCGACTCATTTTAATGCATGTTGGTGGCAGAAGGTTATTTGGCCAACGAGCGTTCTTATGTGAGGAACTCTATAAAATACTGGTTTGAGAATCTCTCTCCTAGCCTTCTGAATCTTCTAAATGCAGCTCTCACAGTGGGAAGAAACCGAATTTGTCTTGGATTGCCACCGAGATGAGCGATTTGGATGGATGGCGTTTGGGTGGAGAGCTGGTAGTTGAGTGTTTTGCCTCCAAAGACTGTACTGAGACAGAGCTGATGTGTGGGACAGCAGCTATCACACTGCTAATGGAGAGGCCAGCGGTGCTCTGAGGCTTGGGCTGTGTGACGGAGTAATACAAGTGGTCCCAAATTATCCATTCTTGTATGAAATACATTTATTTAAAGATTTCTGTTGGAAATCTCTGATGAAACAAAGGCAGTGACACCGTGCTGAAGAAGTTGGAGCCCCTAGCAAAACTGTCAGGGTTTCTAACATTAAGTACGAAGGCTGTCTCTTTGAAGTAATGGCAGCTTATTTAATGAGTTCGCCTCTCATGCACATAGGTGGCATTCAATCTCTTCTATCTATTTGTAAATTCTCTTATGTGAGACTCCTGATGGCATTGTTAGTCCTGACAAACTGCTCTGTCTTCTCGTGAGCACACCACAATGCACGGTTCAGCAAGAAGCTACCACATCCTTCACGTTGAATTAGAGAGGTCTCAGAATGAGAACGCTTTTGTTTTCAAGAATTTATTTTTTGGGGAGTCGGAGTCTAAAAATATGACCAGTTTCCCAGTGGATTTCCAGACTTCAAATCTGTGATTTTTTTTTTCTGTAGAAATTTACAAACAACCAGAAAGGGAAATGGGAGCCTAGGTGGCCCAGCCTTGTAACCATGTCTCTCTCATGCCACGCCCAGCGGTACTCTGTCTCTTCTAGGGACCAGCGCAGTTCTTGAGGTGTGTGAAGGCCTAGCTGAAGTCTGTGCCCTGATCCCCCTGACAGACACACCATACCTCTCCCTCAGACCCACCCTCGGGTGCACAATTACCATGTGTCTGTTAACTGCTCTTCTGTGGTCTAGCCAGTGTGTTGAGAATTGTGCATGTTACCTTCTCCCAGCTTTATTCAAGACTTCAGATATATATGCTATATATATATATATATATTATATTATGTATATATATTGCTTGGAATAACTATAACCTCTGGGGAGCAGACAGAAAGCCTTTTAGACACCTGCGAATTCATGTCAAATAGGAACCTGCCCACCATCTAACTGACGTTACTCAGCCACCACTGGGAAGAAGAGGCCAGGCATTCTGTTAGCGCCCTGCCCAGCAAAGCCAATCCTTTCCCAATGCCTCAGCATTCAGAAGGCAGTTTACCAGGCTAGGCAAATGGACTAGAACCCCTGCCATTGTGGTCGCATAAAGCAGAGGAAGTATTTCATTATCTGTGAGAAACAGGCTCAGAAATACTGACTGAAGGGTAAACAACAAGAACTTACCGACAGAGGATCAAATTGGTGACGTGAGGAGCCGTGGGATAGGAAAGGGCAGATTTTACTGCATTTTCTCCACCCAGCAACACTATCAGTGGTTTTCTGATTCCGTATTTCTTGTCCACCATTTTCCACAAGTGATATCGTAGGGAAGGCAAGAGAATCAATTTCATAGTGGTCAACCCGAGCATTCACTTTAAAAGGTATAATCAGGACGCAGTAGTAAGGATACTCGGTGGTAAGAATTAAAGTTACTGCTTTTGTGGGTATATGCGCCCTGCAATCAACTGGTTGCTATGTAAAAATTTCTCTTCAAAGAGAGTGTAATGTTGTGTGGCCTTCAAATACAGAAATGCAATCTTTGTTAGACGCATATTTTGAAAACAAAACACAGACTTAATTCCTTTTAAGGGAATGGTTTTATTATTTGAATAAAAGCAATTGTGGTTGCTAATGTAACCGCTGTTGGTTGGTGTATGTCTGTTTTTCCTTGTTAGGTTTTCAGGGTCTGGAGTCAGCGTGTTTTCACGGTTAGACTCACTGATCACGTGCAGTTTCTATGAGAAATGCACCTGTGTCCTGTGCGCATGTATCTGTGAAAACCGGGCATCTTAAAGCCTTCCACCTCCACTTGTGATGTATTTTATCTTAGTCTCTACAGTTTATTACACACATATTTTGTTGATGCAGTTCAGAAATTTTTAAAAATCGTATAAACCTTTGTGTAATTTATATTTTGTGTGTTTTAGTTCTAATCTTAAACTTTAAAAAACATGTTTGGAATTATAATCTAAATCATCTCATTTGGGCAGAACTTGAGCTCATTCATGGCACCACAGTACTAGAAATTATTTACTTAGAATAACACCCTTCGTTTGGTGAATGTCTATGTTGAATTACTACTTCATTTAGATGTTAAATAAAATATAGTTGTGCTTCTACAGTCATGAACTGCCTTTCTCCAGTAAAAGTTTCTTTTAGTGGATTCCAAAGTTTTCATCGACTGATTTGGTTAAAAGAAAACATTTAAAGGTGATTTTTAATTTTTTTTCGCATTCTTGAGTTGACTCCGTAGGATGGTCTGTGAGCCTCATTAATTACTTAGGAACGATTCCACATTAGACCACTGTTTTATTCTGATAATTTATAATGCTTCTTTGAGTAATTATTAATTATAATTAATTGTACTCATTATTTCTTCCCAAGTATGCTGAGGTACAGCGCTTTCCTTCAGAGAAGCCTCACATCTAAAAATCATGAACTGAGTGGCCAGTGCCTTGTGAACATTTAATTCAAAACGTTTATAAAGTTTCCCATGTCTTGTAGAAGCAGAAAAATGGGGCTTCTGTATACTCAGGAGAAGAAAGAGGGGTGCATCAAAACTGAATATGGTAAGATCACTTTGAGCAGAGAGAAAAGGCTTACACAGCACTGACACGGGAAATAAATTTATCTAAATTTTAATTTAATTTAATTTTAATTTTAATGGAAAATTAATCTATTACCCCCT